TAATCTAATTAAGATATTTGAATTCAACATCAAACTCGCAAAAAAGCTTTATTGACAATCTTTTTCTTAAATTATTTTTTATATTAATCAAGAAAATAATATCATATTATAATAATCTTACTTATTTTAGAATTTTTCTTATTCTTTTGACCCATTTTTTGCTTTTTTTTTAAAGTAACTAAATAATTATCTATTGTACAGTTCAAGGTAATTTGAGATAATAAGTATAAATATCAATGATGATTAAACAATAAAAAAAGAACAGTAGATAAGACAAATTCTTTGAATACCAAAAAATAAAACAAAAAAAAAATAATCTATATAAATATCATGTATATTGTCTAGTCTTTATTAAAATAATATATCGATCACACGGTAAAAAAAATGTAAAATATGCATAAATGATAATATTCGTTTCGGTTGATTAAAAATGCAGGCGTCATAGGTAACCTATATATACAGTGAAGATTTTCTTTGATGAGAAAGCAATTGATATCAAACATTTATACATAAGAAACAAAATGGATGAACAACAAAGAATCGAAAGTGAATTTAATCGTGCTGATTTAAATCATGATGGAACAATTGATGAATTAGAATTTCGACAATTTCTTGGACCAATTATTGATGAAAGAAGATTATCTGGAAATATTAATTATCGAGATCTTCAACATAATGTAAGTTTTTCATTCTCTTATTTAAATAATCTCTCATAGATATAATTATAGCTTCAATCATCAAATGTAAGTCAAACAATCATATATCCAGTTGGCGTTGATGTAGCTTTTGCCGGTTTTACATCAAATCCAATAAATTATGAAAAGTTTTCAGGAGGTATTTACCAACCAGAAGCTCATATATATGGAGTTGGTCCTGATGTTGGTATTGGTGCACCAAATGTTGCTAGAAAAAGTAATCAATATGATCCAGCTGGTGCTATGTTTGATTATGCTGATCTTAATCGTGATGGAAGAATCGATAGATCAGAATTTGGTATATTTATGCGTTCAATGTAAATGTGTTTTTTTTTTCTAATTAATTTTCTGCACTTGATTTTATTTTTATCAAATTCCTTGGATTCGCATTTTTTGTTTCTTTTAGTTAGCTTCTACGTATTTTTATTAAAAGTGAAAAATATTCACTTATGAAATAAAATTCAAACATCTATGTTTCATATTCATACATTGATTTTTTTTTTTCAAAATAAGAAAATGAACATTCTCTTATGACTAACAATTGAATATATACATTAAAATTTCTGAAAATCAACACAATATAATCAGATATAACGACAATTATTTCAATGTTGTTCTAATGATGAACTATAGATCATTAATTGACAATTCGCTTTAATAAATACAATAATCGAACATTGAACAACCTTGAGTTGTCAATATTCAGAAGGTTAAATAAAGTCAATAAATATATCAATGAAGCAATAGATCAATAATGACAGATCGAAGGTTTAGTTTTATTATGAATAAACAAAAGCTTGTTTTTTCTTCACAAAATAGTCTCGATTAGGTTTAAACGTATTTTGTATTTTGTTTCAAATATATAATCGTTTAAATAAATTGTACTTGAAGATCACATCACATAAATACATATTAGTTAATTATGTAAGCTTTGATTCTTTTTCTATTAAACGATAAATTCGCACGAACTTTTTAATCAAGTACTTGAACTTTCTTTAAATTCTATTCAAATATTTGTCAATGTAATAAAAATCGATGACAACCGGTGGTTTTTATCAAAACCTTCAGTTACCCTACAGCCAACTATGGTTAGTCGGCGGTTTTGTTCCGCTATTTTAAGTCATGAAAATTTATAAAACAATCAATGACAAACCCACTCATGATACCGAAAGTTTAACAGCTACCATAAAAAAGGATTTATTAGATCTCTTCTTGCTATATACACATAGCTTTTGTAGTTAATATAGATAAATATTTAGAGGATAAAATAGAGATCAAAAATATTTTTTTTCCTTGTGTCACAAGGTTATTTTTTTGCCTCTTCATTCTATACTCTCTTTTTCTTTCCAACCATAGATTATATGCTGCACTATGCATATGACTAAGTAGCATAAAATTCATTTCATGTTTTAGTTACATTCATATGCAGATCGGTAAAGGCTGTAGAATTATTTTCGGACTTTTAAAGAGAGTTGCTCATCGACTTACTAAAAAATTACTCTAAGTAATAAAGCGTTTTTTGAGCTCAAACTCTATGCATAAGATAAATCTAGTGAAGTATGAAAAATCCCAAAAATGATAAGAGCACATAAGCCTTTCCTATAGCGTGATAGTCATTTCCTGGAATTTAAGCCTATAGTGCGGGATATACTAATAAATTGAATGACAGTATTTCGTTCTAAAATTTTCAGCTAAAAGCAATGCTTTCTTCACGAGATATTAGCATTTCTTTGAGCTGGAAATTTTAGAGCATTCTAATTACAAGTAGCAATATCATCGGGCAAAATTTCAGGCCGAAATGATGTCATTTAATTGGTTAGTGTCTATCATGCTATAGGCTTAAATTTCAGTAAAATGACTATAACTTCGTACGGAAGACTTATGTGCTCTTATCCTTTTTGGATTTTTCATACTTCACTGAGTCTACCTTATGCATACAGTTCGACCTAAAAAATGATTAATAACTTGAGATACTTTCCTGATAAGTCATATCGTAACAAAATTCAATTCTAATTTTGAATAAACGATTTTTTCTGTCGACTATATTTGAGCCAAAAAGATCAAATATAGAAGATTTAGATCAGTTGTCTGAATAAAAGATTATCTTTCAATATTTTATGTTGATACATTCTTTTCTATGTTCCATTAAAATTTCTTTTACAATTTGAAGCATTATTATCAATGTTCTATGTCAATAGAAATTCATGAGCAATTATCACGATTCTTCTCTTTTAACATATAAGATTATTCATATATTATTAAGAATCATACTTAGTTTTTACTAAAAGTTTACTATTAATAAGAGTTGATAACTGATTTTTGTTTGTTTATTATACTTGTATTGTAAAATGTTTGACAACAGTCTTAAGAACTTGTTGTATACATGTTTATTAAAACCAAAAAGAAAGGACGAATCATATAAACATGACTCTAAATTGATTAGAAGATTATTCTACTTTACCATAATATCACAGTTGCTCATAACAAAGTACAACAGAATTATATATCATATTTTCGTTTGTAAAAAAAAACATATAAATGAAAACTTCACCAATAATATATCATTGCATATCAAATAAATTACACCAAAGTAAAGAAGATACAACAAAAATTTTCGAAAACAATACATATGCATATAATGTGAATTTGTGCTCAATAACAAATAATATATTTCGTTTTATTTATTTTTTCTATTCTATTGCTGTCAATACTTTTTTGTTAGATTATAACATCCGATTAGTGTGCTCGATTAAATTATAAATATTTAATACACCCAGGTCAACATGGACGTTACGTAAACGGTAGTAAACCAATAAAAAAACGGTGACTATACAGAGTCCTGACGATTTTCGTAAACGGAAATCAGTTTACATTGTAAATACAGATACATTACGAGCCGTTTTACAGCACAACTTCCTTAGAAGTGTATACGGCCTGAAAACGAAAAGCGTTTACGCACCGTTTCGAGCCGTCTTTTTCTATCATTTTAAGTTTGTCGACCGATGTAACTCCGACAGCACATACATATGAGCAAGATCAATTCATAGAAACCCCAATAATTTTTCTTGACATTAAAAATAGAGATACTAATCAAAGCTCAAATAAAAATTCTATAGGGCATAGACGTGTTAGTTTCAATTTAATTTATTTTCAATTTAAATTCACGAAGATTTTAATTTAATTATCTATTTTATATTTCACTTTTAAAATTCAAATTCATTTTATACTTTTTTTCTAAAATTAAATTTATTATGTATCTAAATTGCTTAAAGTTCACATTCAATTCAATTCATTCTACATTCTTTTTTATTAAATCAAAATTCATTTTATGGTACATTTTTTAATTCGAAATTTATTATAGATATAAATTTCTGAAATTTTATTTCATTTCATAATTTCTTACAATCAAAATTTATTTCGGATATCTTTTTTTTTGTTCTCAGAATTTATTACATTTTTTTGAACTATAATTCACTATATATTTTATTTTTCTTAAACTAATTTTTTTCATTTAAATTTGCTAAAATTTAAACTCAAATTCATTCTACATTTTATTTTTTCAATGAAAATTTATATGAAAAATTTACATTATATTATATTTCTTTTGTTTGAAATTTATATTTACTTTATGCTTTATGACTTAAAATTAAAATTCATTGTATATTTTATTTATTTTTATATTGAATGTTCTTATGTAGATTTGCTAAAATTAAAATTCGCTTTATATTCCACTTTTAAAATGAAAATTTATTTTATATTCCATTTTTTAGTTCAATATTTATTGTAAATTTAAATATCCCGAATTTAATATCATTTCGATATTAAACTTTCTTAAAATCAAATTTTTTTTGAACTTAAATTTCATAAAATTTTAATTAATTAATTTTTGTATATTTACGTTTATGATAAATTTAAATTTCTAAAAGTTTATTTTCGAATGGATTATTTTTTTGGAGCTGTAAATGAGAACATGAACTCCAGGTTGCATTTAGTAATAAAATCAATGCTCGAAGGATCGTAATAAAACAGCCGTAAACGAGTACAATTAGATATATTAACGGTCGTTAACGTTGAGAATACGATGGAATACACATGATGGTATTTCACCCGTAAAGTTTTAGAAAACGGCCAAATACGATCAGTTTACAGTACGGGTACAATACAGGGCGAATTTCTGCGCTAGATAATACGGTTCAATATGGATCGAAAACGAAACTTATTGCATCCGTGTATCTCCGTAAATGCCCCGTTTTTTACAAAATTTTCGGTCCGTTATCGGATCGTTTTGATCGACTTGGGGCACTTTTATTCATATGTAAGTTTTATATTACGAAAATATTCAATTCCAAAATACTGTATATTTCTTATATTTCCACCAAATTTTGGATTCTCTTTAGTGATATCTTCTAATTTTGTTAATATATCACTTGTAAATAAAGAAGTATTTGCTGATGATGACCATGTATTTTTATCAAATATTAATTGGCAACAACTATCATCATACCAAAAATTATATTTTATTGTACTAAAAACTTGCTTTTCAAACAAATATCCATCTTCTAAAGATTCTACTCGATGAGATATACCATATGAAAGATCATTAAAATATGATCGTGCAAATACATAAAAAAAAAATTCATGTATTAAATTTACAACTAGTCTTGTATACATGGTTATCTTTGACCAATTAGGTTCAAGTAGTTTGTTTTTATCTTGATAAATGACATAATTTAATCCAGCTAAACCAAGTACAGATAAGTGAACATCATATACATTTAATTTATTTCTAATTATGTTTAAGTGTTTAATTAAATAATCTTCGTTTATATTCATATTACATTTCTCATTACATATTAGTAACAATAAAGTTTGAAAACGTTTGGAATTCATAATAATATTTTTAAAATATTCTACATGAAAATCATTCGTTATATTATTAATATAAATAAAATTATTATTTCTATATTTAACCATGTCATGATAAATAATAGTATGTAAACGAATATATGATCGTAAATCATATTTATTTATAATATCTTCTATTTGTTCATTATCAACAAACGAACATAAATAACGAAATAATGATAATAATTCAATTCAATTTACATTTTGTTCAAATAATAGTTCGTTATTATTTTCATATTTTAAAAGAGATATTTTTAATGTTGTTATAAATACATGAACAATTTCTTTTATTACTTGCATTTCATCAATTATATGATTGTGATTATAATAAAAACTTATAATTTTTCCCACTATCCATTGTAATAGACGATCGATATTTTGTAACGATATTTCTTTTATATGGTAAAAATATGTTACCATTTATTAACATTATATTAGAGCTTGCGCATTGTAATTCAATATCTATAGTTTCATCATGTGATTTAATTTTTGAAATTATATGCTCTTCATTATAAATATATTTTAACAAAGTATTAAAATCCATTTTATTTTCTTTTTATATCTAAAATACAAAAAAAAAACAAGTTTATTCATTAAGATCAGTAACTTATAAACATTATCTATACAATTGATTTTTTTCATACTCCTCGTCATTTCGCAATACAAGTCAAATGCTATATACGTTTCAGTATATCGTCGTGTATTCTGCTTTTGAACAAAGTGGAAAGTAAAGACGTCATGTTGAGTTATTTTTCGTTGTGTAACGTCTAGTCATTGTGGTTTTTTCTATTGTGTTTTCTGTGATCACTATATAAGAAAAATAGATGATGGCACTTTAGTCCGTTTCGTGCAAATATACCATATCTATAGATGACGTCAATCTACTATATACAAATATTTTGTGATAATAATAACTCTATATATATGAGAATACCAATTTTTCTGAAACTCACGTATATTTTCGAAGAAAATAGTGAGTATAAGTTTTAAGTTCAAGTTTTTGTGGCTCCTTTCCTTTTCCTCTCCATTACAGATACATAGTAGCGTAGGGTCTCATTACAGACACCTCTGTTACAAACATCCCGTCCCCACTTCCCATTACAGACTTCCGCAATCGTGTACAAAAGGTTTCACGTTTATTTAACAATAAAAAAAAGAGTTGATCAGTATGCAATATATGAATCTGACTGCTACATAATATTTCAATACTTTCATAACTATTTGAAAAAAAAAATATTATACATTTTTTAGAGTTCTTAATAGTGTAATCGTTGATTTTCTTTAGAATTTAAACTTGTTTGTTAAAAATCAAGGATGAAGAGTAGTAATATATATTTATCTGTCATAGCACTCATATAATCAACATGAGAAGCATGATTCGATCTTTTTATCAGTTTGAAAAGTAAACAATATCACCATTTAGGGATTCATTGAAGTATATAATAGTGTGGTAAGAGCTGCTAATGCATATAAACTGCATTATTATAATAGTCTTATTCATGAAATAGTCTATGGTGAAAAAAAAAGAATAATTTCAAATTACAAAAAACAAAAATATGACTATTATTGAGTATCTAGCAACAATTATAAATAAAGTCGAGGGATCTCAAACGAAACAGACATTATCAGTTTAAAATGTAGAAATAAATAATAAATTCTCGCTTTTGTCATCAATTATTAGTGAAAATAACTATAGTCGACAAGAAGTTTTTCAGTTTGCAGATGATGTATTAGGATAACAAAGTTGAAGCATATACGTGAGTTCCACATTTTAGCTCCAAAGAGTTGTGCTAACGAGCTTTTTTATAACAAAAAATAAGATAAACTGAACGAGAAACAGCCAAAGACAAACAATAATCCATTGAATTTTGAAAAAGTGCAAAAACATTCTAGAAAACACAACAGAAAAAAATGAAGACTAATTGAGCAGTCAGAACTACTGAAGAAAAAAAACGAAAATAAAAGCAAATGGTGAACATCTATCGTTCATTTATGATCATATATCTTGTGAAACACATGTAACAGCAAAAAATTCATGATGATTGCTTTTTTTAAAAAGCTTAATGTCACAAATTTTGTCAATTCTATCCCAATAAAAAATTGTAATACTCATTCGGGGATTCTTTTTTTTAAAAAAAGAAGTAATAAATTACTTGAACACAATCATATTCCCATGTTGACACGATGAAATCCATAACAATAAGAGTTCTTCACTGCTGTTCGTATTCTTTCGATTCGTCCGTTATTGTTTTTAGATGGCATATTAATATGAGTCTATCTATTAAGAGTTACTAAATATCTTTTTTTAGTCATTTGAGTAAGTAAAAATGGTAGCATATTTTTCAATGGAGATGATGATACACAATATTGCCCCGTTTGACACACATCATGTGTAATGAAATTGATCAGAACATCGACTTCGAGTGCACCTTCACCATCGTCGACGATTTTCTTTGTTTTCGTGATATCAGTCGCTTCAAAAAGATCGTTGAAACTACTGCCAAAATAAAGGATAACAACAGCTGTCTGTCTGTATAGTTGATAGAATTTGTATTTGTATACAATGGAAAAGAAGCATATATCTAAAAGGAAAGAGAGCGTTGTCTGGGTCTAGATGTGAGTGTAGGTGTGATTTTATGATTCTTTCTTCATCTACACTCACAGACAAACAGTCATCGCTATGTACAGCAGCTACACAAAGTTCTTCGCTAGCCGTCTTCTAACTCAATTCATCACACTTCTTAAAAATGGATGCAATGAAGTTCAGAATTCCAATTTCTTCTGTAAGTCTTTATAACTCTTCTAACTCATTAAAACATTTGATTCTTTTTTCATTATATTCTTTGTTTTTGGCTTTTTTGTACTTCCAAATTTATCCTTTTGCTTGCTGTAGTATTAGGATGTGGATGTGAGTCATGGTCAAGAGCAGACCATTAACACACGTACATGCACCCCCACACTTGTTTTCAACAAATTTTTTGTTAGTCATGAGTGAACTTTTGGGAATAGATGGGGTAACAGTTGGTATATCTGTGGTACAAATTTGAGCCGAACAAATAAACAGTGCCGTTAGTTGGAACGAGGAATATATTGAGTCTTCCTTTGCTGACTATCAGAATATTTTATGCAGAATAGAGGTTTTTGCCTGACAACGAGCAAAACATATGACAGAAAAAGAAAGAAAGAACAGAGAGTAACTTACATTGTACGAGTCATTTTGAGCAAACAACAAAATTGAATCTTGACAGAGGCAATTGTTGTTAATAGTGCATGCGAGTACATTCTTCAGCAACAATGTGGAGATCAACAAACACTTGGAATAGTCGAGTCTAGAATACCTGATTTGGTATCTTCGTGTTGGTCTCAATTCAGTAAACAAATCCATAAAATTTTTTATCAGTAAGAAATTTTTTTTGTAGATGAAAATTTGTCCTATATTTGATGAGCCTTCAAGAAGAAGTCATCAATTTATTGGATAGAATTGGCATTCATCTTATACTCGCCATGATTACTTTACGAAAGTGTTTCTTTTTCTTTAAGCTTCTTTTACTTGGTACCGACTTAAATTTCATGTCATATAGCAATATTGCGTCTCTTATCGTCGACTATCACGATATTTGATAACCTCTCCTTCAAAACAAAATCTCTTTGTCTCAAATTCGATTCCGATGAAATTTTCAGCAAGTGTTGAGTACTCAACAGAGTGATCACAAAAAATTTTTTAAAACTCTATCTGTTATCACTCACTAGATTTAATAATCCAAGGTGAAAAAACCAATCTTCACTGTAACATTCTTCTCCTTGATATAGCTCAAGTTAAAGATGTTGGTTTTAAACTAGTTACCTAACTGCAAAGTCTTTTCTTAATTTTTTGAGATGCACGATGTTTAAAATCTTTCGAAGATCATTTCAACTTTTCTAAAGTTTTCCTTCTATGAAGACAAATTAGTTTTATTGAAGGAGCTTTGAATTCTACATAAACTGATGGAGATCAATTTGCTAATTTAGGTCTAAGTTCCTTAGAAAAAAAAGAAACTTTAGGAAACCAGAAGGACTCTTTCATGAATTTCGAGCATCTTGAACCTCTAGACAAATAACAAAGACCCCTATTAGAAATCTGATCCCTTTCAACCTTACCAATATGTGCCTAGTTCAAAATCAATAACTTTAACTTGAGATATATCAAAAGAAAAGGATATTACAAGAAAGGGTGGTTTCTGATCTGCAACTCTAGAAAGCTGTGGAATCGGGATCGAGATAGCTGAAAAAATGTTATGTCTAACATTTGTGGAAAATTTGGCCAAAATTGAACGTGAGAAAAGAATTTTATTCTAATGATTCTAGGGATTGGTAGTGCTAGGTACAAAATAGCAGTCTTGCCTGAGAGACAATGAAAAACTTCCTAGAGTAGAAGAAAAGACAGGACAGAGTGCATCTACCACCATTTTGTCGTGAAAAAATGGGAAATTAGGCACACTATTTCACTCAGAACTTCCCGAGTAAAATCCATGATAGCTATGCTTTTAGAAAATGTTTTTGTCTTATATGTATTTATCATAGTTTATAGGAAGATGGAAGATTGAGTTTTCAATCTCATAGAATATCTTGAATATCTTGAATATTTTCATATCTTTTATTGGATTTAGACTAGGTACGTTTTCCAATGTATAGCCAACGATTAGATGCCTTTCGGGGTAGCTCTCGAAAAATTAATTCAACTTTTTACAAGAAGAAGAATCTAGAATCAGTTTCAGCAGTATCCACATCTACATCCAGCAAAGCAAGAATCAGAAGCACTTATCGTGATATTTTTATTGGTGCAATTTCGCGTTTTGTACCGTTGGTTCGAGTACCAATCCATGCTGACCTATCCGATCGATTCACAGTTTGCGTGCGTGTTCGACCATTTCTCGAACAAGAACGCCTTCGAAGCGATGTGTACGAATGTGTCACTACAAATGAGGATTCAGTGACCGTGCACGCTG